AGGGAAAGTAGTTTTATATCACATTACGTGTGTAAGTGGAATTCGGTCAAACCAAATGTTACAAAAACACGTGGAAGGCTCTATATAGAGGGCTAATGGAATGAACCCTTCTGTAAAATGGAGCATCCTTCCATCATGCGAATCATGTCCTCTAACATACTAATTTATTTAGCCTCACTTTTTTCTATTTGATGCCTGTCATTTGAGGCAATCTCAAAAGTATGATGTACCCTGCATTTCGTTTATGTGCTCCTATTATTCCTCCATTACACCTCACCTTTCTGTTAGCAGCGATGCAGTTCATTCTGCAAACTCCAAAAGGGATCGCAACCTCATTCGAGCAAAGGACTGAAATCCTCTCCTCGCTGGCCACTTCCCTGCTTCAGAAACTCCAGTTCTCACACACTGGCAGGATCCGTGCCGGAGTGACCAGCTGCCTTAATGCTGGTGTCATAGAATTGTAGTTTGGTTCTGTCACGTTTTCCTATCTATAACTCCCCTATTCTTTTCCTTAGCTAGCGACCTTATAAGGTATTCTATAACAAAGATTAAAGATATCGTGTAAACTACCCTCTAACTAAAATAACCACAAACCAGAATGGCAGAAATCTTTAGGGTAAAATATCATGATGTAAAGCAAGTGGAATTCTCATGCACTGCAAGTGGGAATATAAACTGGTATAACCATTCTGAAAAACTGCTTTGTAGGAGCTACCGAACCTGAAATACACATGGCCTCTGAACAGGCTACCGAACCTGAAATACACATGGCCTCTGAGTGAACAATTCTGCTGCCAGAGCCACACATGACAAAAACGCATAAAACAGGTGCATCAAAAAACATGTATGACGCGGCTCACAAAAGCATTATTCATAATAGTCAAAACTGAAAACAACCCAGGTGATCAACAGGAGAATCAACAAATGTAGGGGCACTTCAAAAAGTTCATGGAAAATGGGATTAAAGTATGAATGTATTTCAGTAAAAAAAAAAAAAAAAAAACTTTGAAATTCATGCATAATGTGTTCATAATATCCATTTTCCATGGATTTTTGAAGACCTTCATCATAAATTCTAGTATATTAGTACAATTAAACAATACCTAGCAGGACCAGCAGTTAGCGTAATGGCTATGTCGCTGGACTCCCATGTAGTTGACAGTGGTTCGAGTCCCCGACCTGGTGGCTTAAACTCACACTGGGCACATGTGCGTGCGTGCTCAAGATCCCGAGAGGAGAATGGAAGAGAAGAGATTGCAGCATGGCCATCCCCCCTGGGGGGTGATTTCTCGCTTTCTGTCTCTATCTTTCTGGCAAGCTGACGTGCCCTGCAGCAAAAACCTCTCAAAAAAACAAACAAACAAAATAAAAACAATACCTAGCAAATATAAAGAACAAATTACTGCCGCAAGGAATAACAAGAATGACTAACAAATGTGTTATTGGGCAAGGGCCCGCAGGTGGCGTGGTAGTTAAGAGCACTGGACTCCCACATAGCCAACAGTGGTTCGAGTCCTGGACCTGGCAGCTTGCTTTCTCACTTTCCCTCTCTCACTCTCTCTGTCCCTCTCTGATCAAATTAAATTAAATAAAAAGTTAAATAAAGTAATTCTTGTTTTTAAAGAATTATTTATTTATTTCCATTTGTTATTGTTATTTTTTTTTCTTTACTTGACGAGAGAGAGAAAGAGAGAGAGAAAGGGAAAGGGAGAAAGCAAGCCACCAGGTCCGGGACTTGAACCATGGTTGGCCATGTGGGAATCCAGCGCCCTTATCCACCACACCACCTGCTGGCCCCTAAATAAAGTAATTCTTTAAAAAAATGTATTACTGGGCAAAAGAACTAGACACAACATAACACGTGCTCCCATTTGTATATGTTCAAAATCAGGCAGTATCAATCTATGATGAAAGAAGTTTACTTCTGAGAGGAGTAAGGAATTCTCTTTGAAGGAGCGGCAAAAGGGAATTTCCTTAAAGAAAAAAAAAAAAAAAGACAAAACGAATTATTTTATTCAATTTTTATTTATTATTCTTTTTAAATTTGACCGGAGAGACAGAGGGAAAATGAAAAGGCCAGCCACCAGGTCTGGGGTTTGAAATGTAGTCAGCCATATGGGAGTCCAGTGCCTTAACCACCACACCACCCGCTGGCCTGCGAAAGAGAATTTCTAGGGTGTTGATAATAGCCTATTTCCAGATTCTTGTAGTGGCTCCACTCACCAACTTGTACAAAATCTGCATACTCTAGTTATGCTTCAAAAACAAATTGACCAAAAAAATGCCATGAAACCCAAAATTCAGAAATACTTAACTTGAAATAACGCACCTTATTTCCTTTCTACATACTAAAGAACTATGCTTAAACAACTCATCCTCCCTATTGAACAGCACTTGCTTAAGACATACGATTAAGTAGTTTTTCACAGATCCAATAAAGTGCACCCCAAATTGCCTACACAAGTTACCCAAGAAAAGGCTCTCTCAGAACAAAATCCCAATATCTACTTTCAATACATTATTTCAAATGACCACTTAAAGAAATATCCAGTGAAAAACTACCATTTTGGGAAATTCAGTATTTTTCTTTACTAGATTAAGACCCTAAAACACAACTGCAGTATAAAAGATTGAGATCTCAAAAAATAAAGAACAAAAAATGTCACATGAAAGTCTGACATGTCCATAAGAGCTGGTACGTGTGATTAGGACGGAAGCTTATCTAAAATGTATGTAAAGCATGGGAAAAAAAACAACACTTACTTCTCTTCTCCTTTTTCTTAAATTTTCCTTTTTTCTTCCCATGGTCTTTCTCATCATCAGATGCTATGTCAGGAGGTTCATGGAGGATATCATGAGGAGGTGAGGGCTCACCAGTGCGGTACAATCCAGGAAATTTAGTGGGGCTGATCTCTTCAGAGCTGGGAGTCCGGGTAAGCCCACTGCCATGCTCTGCCCTGCGGTGTTCACTGGGGCTGCTGGTGGGGGGCAGGAAGCACTCAGTCATGCTGACGCCCTGACAAGAAAGGGAAGAGGTCTTCTCTGTTACCTATCCATTACACCTGCACAGAGAGAAAAAGCATGAACGGTCACCAACATCTGTCAAAGAACAGAAACACCACATTTAGCACAGCAATGAGTCTTACATTTCACATCAACTCCCCCTTTATTTATTTATTTAAAGAGATTTTTTTTTTCTATTGGGCATGAGTGTTCACTGGAGAGAGAGAGACATAAAGTGAGACATCACTCCCCAGGGGGGATGGCCATGCCACAATCCCCTTCCCACCATTCCCCTCTCAGGATTTTAGGAATGCACACATGTAGGCATGCCTAGCGTGAGTTTCAAGTCATCGAGTCCAGGACTCAAACCATGGTTGATCATGCGAGAATCCAGCACCTTGACCACTACACCATCTGCTTGCTCTTACAATCCCCCTTTAAAAATACTTTTTCAGGCTGGCTGCATGGCCTGGTGGTTAAGGAGCCGAACTGCACATGTCTGACCATGCAGTTTGAATCCCTGTTCTAGGGAGTTGAAAAACATGTCAAGTACATTTGTGAGAATGCCCCAATTCCCTACAGGATGGAGAAATGGAGGAGAAGGGACTGTGCCATGATCAATTCCAGTGGGGGATGCTTTCTCCCTTTCCTGCTCTGTCTTTCTCTGACAAGTGTACCTATACTCTGGCAATTAAAAAAAATAATAAAAAATAAAAATAGTTTTTTATTTTATTATCTTGATTTACATTCCCCTAAGCCACACATTTAAGTTCTCAGAATTGAAAGCACTAGGATCTTCGAATACAGAAAAATAAAGCAAAAAAAGAAAAAGAGAGAGAGAGAGAATGGATTAAGAACAAAACAAACAAAAACAAACAGGAGTCCTTTATAGGCTGCTTTGGGGAAAAATAAAAGCACACAACACTGAGAAAGGCACAGTTTGTGCTTTGGGGAAAAATAAAAGCACACAACACTGAGGAAGGCACAGTTTGAGAGTAAAAGATCCGAATAAAGGCATTCCATGGAAATGGAAACGCCCAAATAAGCAGGATTTGCTATCCCAACAGCTAATAAAATCTGTAAAAAGATAAAGAAGGTCATATTATAGTATTAAAGAAATTAACCCACCAAAAAGATAGAATAATTATATCTATACTCAATATTAGAGCACCTACATACACAAAACAAAGATGCCAAATGGACATGGTAAGACAGACTCTACAACATTACTTGTTAAGGATTTCCCCCCCCACCACCACTGAATAGATCATCTGCACAAAAACTGAAAAGACACTGGTATTAAATGATATTATAAACCCAATGGGGTTTCATTTACAAAACACTTCACCCAACAAATACGTAATACATATTTTTTTTTTGCCCAGTGGAACATGGTAACTTTTCAAAGATAGACCACACAATAGGGCAAATAACAAGCTCTACAAATTTAAAACAAAAATAGCTAACATCTCTTCTGACCGCAATGGGATTAAACATGGAATGAACAACAACACAAAATCCCAATATCTACTTTCAATACATTATTTCAAATGACCACTTAAAGAAATATCCAGTGAAAAACTACCATTTTGGGAAATTCAGTATTTTTCTTTACTAGATTAAGACCCTAAAACACAACTGCAGTATAAAAGATTGAGATCTCAAAAAATAAAGAACAAAAAATGTCACATGAAAGTCTGACATGTCCATAAGAGCTGGTACGTGTGATTAGGACGGAAGCTTATCTAAAATGTATGTAAAGCATGGGAAAAAAAAACAACACTTACTTCTCTTCTCCTTTTTCTTAAATTTTCCTTTTTTCTTCCCATGGTCTTTCTCATCATCAGATGCTATGTCAGGAGGTTCATGGAGGATATCATGAGGAGGTGAGGGCTCACCAGTGCGGTACAATCCAGGAAATTTAGTGGGGCTGATCTCTTCAGAGCTGGGAGTCCGGGTAAGCCCACTGCCATGCTCTGCCCTGCGGTGTTCACTGGGGCTGCTGGTGGGGGGCAGGAAGCACTCAGTCATGCTGACGCCCTGACAAGAAAGGGAAGAGGTCTTCTCTGTTACCTATCCATTACACCTGCACAGAGAGAAAAAGCATGAACGGTCACCAACATCTGTCAAAGAACAGAAACACCACATTTAGCACAGCAATGAGTCTTACATTTCACATCAACTCCCCCTTTATTTATTTATTTAAAGAGATTTTTTTTTTCTATTGGGCATGAGTGTTCACTGGAGAGAGAGAGACATAAAGTGAGACATCACTCCCCAGGGGGGATGGCCATGCCACAATCCCCTTCCCACCATTCCCCTCTCAGGATTTTAGGAATGCACACATGTAGGCATGCCTAGCGTGAGTTTCAAGTCATCGAGTCCAGGACTCAAACCATGGTTGATCATGCGAGAATCCAGCACCTTGACCACTACACCATCTGCTTGCTCTTACAATCCCCCTTTAAAAATACTTTTTCAGGCTGGCTGCATGGCCTGGTGGTTAAGGAGCCGAACTGCACATGTCTGACCATGCAGTTTGAATCCCTGTTCTAGGGAGTTGAAAAACATGTCAAGTACATTTGTGAGAATGCCCCAATTCCCTACAGGATGGAGAAATGGAGGAGAAGGGACTGTGCCATGATCAATTCCAGTGGGGGATGCTTTCTCCCTTTCCTGCTCTGTCTTTCTCTGACAAGTGTACCTATACTCTGGCAATTAAAAAAAATAATAAAAAATAAAAATAGTTTTTTATTTTATTATCTTGATTTACATTCCCCTAAGCCACACATTTAAGTTCTCAGAATTGAAAGCACTAGGATCTTCGAATACAGAAAAATAAAGCAAAAAAAGAAAAAGAGAGAGAGAGAGAATGGATTAAGAACAAAACAAACAAAAACAAACAGGAGTCCTTTATAGGCTGCTTTGGGGAAAAATAAAAGCACACAACACTGAGGAAGGCACAGTTTGAGAGTAAAAGATCCGAATAAAGGCATTCCATGGAAATGGAAACGCCCAAATAAGCAGGATTTGCTATCCCAACAGCTAATAAAATCTGTAAAAAGACAAAGAAGGTCATATTATAGTATTAAAGAAATTAACCCACCAAAAAGATAGAATAATTATATCTATACTCAATATTAGAGCACCTACATACACAAAACAAAGATGCCAAATGGACATGGTAAGACAGACTCTACAACATTACTTGTTAAGGATTTCCCCCCCCACCACCACTGAATAGATCATCTGCACAAAAACTGAAAAGACACTGGTATTAAATGATATTATAAACCCAATGGGGTTTCATTTACAAAACACTTCACCCAACAAATACGTAATACATATTTTTTTTTTGCCCAGTGGAACATGGTAACTTTTCAAAGATAGACCACACAATAGGGCAAATAACAAGCTCTACAAATTTAAAACAAAAATAGCTAACATCTCTTCTGACCGCAATGGGATTAAACATGGAATGAACAACAACAAAAAACTTTTAAAAATACAATAATATGGGACCAGCAGTTAGCATAATGGCCATGTCGCAGGACTCCCATGTAGTTGACTGTGGTTCGAGTCCCCAACCCGGTGGCTTAAACTCACGCCAGGTGCATGTGCATGCGTGACCAAGATCCCGGAAGGAGAAAGAAGGAGAAGGGATTGCAGCATAGCCATCCCCCTGGGGCATGATTTCTTGCTTTGTGTCTGTCTCTCTCCGTCGTTCTGGTAAACACATGCGCCCTATAGCAAAAATCTTCTCCAAAAAAAAAAATAAATAAAAAACTATAAGTGGAAATGAAAGAGCATGCTACTGAATGATTATAAACTAGTGAATAAAGTAGGAATGAAATTTTAAAATATCTTGAAACAAATGATAATGAAAATATGACATGCCAAAATCTTTGGGGTATGGCAAAAGTAAGAGGAAAGTTTATGTAAGCAATTAATGCTTGTAAGAACAAAATAGAAAGATACAAATAACCTAGTGATGCATCTCAAGGAACTGAAAAAGCAAGAACTAGTGAAACCCAAAAGTAATAGAATAAATAATAATGATCAGAGCAGAAATAAATAGAAGAACAATACAAAGAAAAAATCAATGGTTTTTAGAGGATCAACAAAATTGACAAATCATTAACTAGACTAACCGAGAAAAATATAAAGACCTAAATAAAATCAGAAGCAAAAAGGGACATTACAGGCCAGCAGATGGTGTAGCGGCTATGTCATTGGACTCCCACATGGCTGACCACAGTTCAAGTCCCAGATCTGGTGGCTTGAAAATCACAGCAGGTGCATGTGCGTGCGTGCATGCGTATGTGCCCTCCCAAGATCCCAAGAGGAGAACGGAGGAGAAGGGATTACGGTGTAGCCATCCCTTGTGTGGGGGGGTGATTTCTCACTCTCAGTCTGTCTCTCAGGTGAGCACAAATGCTCTATAGAAAAAAAAAAAATTCTTAAATAAAAGTAAGTGCCAACAAAGGCTGCAGAGAAAAGGGAACTCTCATACACTGTTGGTGGGGATTTAAATTAGTATGGCTACTGTGGAAAACAGTATGGATGCTGCTCAAAATATCTACAAATACACTGGAGCCAACCAGTGGCATGGTAGTTAAGGTGGCTAGATCTCGCATGGACTGTGCAGTTCAAGTCCTGGACCTGGCAGCTTAAAAAGAGCACCTGTCACATGTGTGTACAAGGAGAAGGAAGTGTAACATGGCCATCCCCCTGGGGAGTGATTTCTCACTCTCTCTCTCTCTCTGGCAAGTATACATGCTCTATAGCAAACTAAAAAAAAAAAAAAGGCATTAAAAAAATCACATTTTGACAGTATTTAAAAATATAAAGAAAAAGACACCTATTATTTATAGCATAATATCAACTTTAAATAAATATGAGGGTATTTCAAAAAGCTCATGGGAAATAGATTAATGTATATTAAGTTTTATTTGATGCAAAAACTTTTTGAAATACATGCATAGTTTTTTCATAATGTACATCTCCCATTTTCAAAGATCCTCTCATATGTGTATGAAAAGTACAAGAATGAGCTATTAATAAGAATTACTCTGGGGACCAGCAGATGGCATAATGGTTACATTGCTGGACTCCCACATGGCCAATCATGGTTCATGTCCTGGACCCAGCAGCCTAAAACTCACAGCAGTCACATGTGTGCGTTCCTGCCCAAGATCCCGAGAAAAGAATAGAAAAGTGACTGCGGTATGGCCATCCCCCCGGGAAAGTGATTTCTCGTTTTCTGTCTCTCTCTGGCGAAAGCACATGCCCTATAACAAAAATCTCTCTTTAAAAAAAAAAGAAAAGAAAAGAATTGAGGCTAGCAGGTATGGTGGGTAAGGTGCTGGACTCCCACCAACCACCGG